TCTCTCCTGGTTATCTTGCTGGAACAGACCCCAAACAGGATTTGCCTCCAGGGCAAGCACAGGGGTGCTCAAGACACATGAAAAGCACACACAGCTCGTCCTCTCCCAGCCCTGTGTGTTACCTCCACAAGCTGAAGCTCCAAAGCCCTGAAATAAGTTGAAATTAATGAGCATGGGGGTTCTAACACTTGAGCTCAGTCAGGAGCAGCAGTGGCTGGAGGTGCTGGTGCTTCCAGCCTTGTTTGTTCCCTCCTCTCTGCTGAGGCTCCTCTGGCACCCCTGGGCATGTGAGGAACACACCTGCACATCCTTGTTTTGGTGTCCTGCTTCAGCCTCCTGCTGCAGCCCCAATTTGGGTCTCAGGAGTGTGTTGGCTGAGCTTCACGTGGTCCTGAGGGTCTCCACTGCTCCTGGGCTGTGGCCTCAAATGTTCCCTTGGAGATGTGCTTGCCTTGGTGAGCAGAAAGCCTTTTGGCTCAAGGGGACATCCACAATTGCTCAGCAAGCATGTCAGAATATATTGTATTATGTAATTTGGCCCACAGTTCAACCTTTTGAAAGCACTATCGTTTCTTTAGGAAAGTTCTGCAAACAATAGTTTGGTTTCTTTTTTCCTTTGGAGAATAATCTAAATGGCTTTTAGCAGGAGCTCTCTGCAGTCTCCTCTTGTGTTGATTTTGCTAGGGAGTTTAAACTCTGGAAGCTTTATTTATTATATATTATATATTATTATTATTATTATTATTATTATTAATAATAATAATAACAACAAATATTATATATTACTCTTATTATATAAGAGTAGTTTCTAGTTAACAAAATACATATTTTTGTTACATTTAATAATGAAGCTGTAGTACTATTACTATTATTGACTGCTTAGTTACTGACAGGAGCAAAACTGCTACATGGTTCCTGTGCTTTGCTGCCTAACTCCAGAGCCTAAGTTGGAACCCAAAATCTTCTCATGCTTTTCGAGGATTTGGTGCCACCCTTACAGTCCATCCTAGCTCTGGAAATTTAAAATAACTAAATAACTTTAACCAGTCCCATAAAAATGTCGTATGCTTAAAAATCATGCCATTTAAAAAGAGTTTAATTTTCTTTTTTTCCCCACGACATCAAGAATTCAGAATTTTCGTGTGAAAAATGAAAAATCAGCTACTAATACAGTGTGTTTTACTTAAGATTTTTTTATTGGGGGGTATTTTTTTGTTTGTTCCCTAAAAAAGCCTTTCAAATATTGTAAAACTCAAGGTAAAAGCAGGAGAACTGGCAGTTTTGCTGTTGTATGTTCCCAAATGACCTTGAATTTTTTTGCTACGTTGTTCATGGAATCATTGATGCTGATGCTAGCAGTGCCTACAGAAACTTTCCTGAATAAACACAATTCCTTTGCAAAGGTCTGTGCAAAATTCTGTTTATAAATTAATAGATAAACGGTGTGCTAAAGCAGGCTGCTCACAAAGGTGTTAATCCTGAAAGTGTTGCTAAAAAAGCAGTAAAAATTAATTTAAATAATAGGAAATGCATAAATAATAACAAATACATCAATATATACGTCATTTATCCACTTAAATTCTGTGAAAAACCAGATCAGCTCAAGCAGAAATGGTAATGGGGACGCTCAGCTGGCTCAAGGGCAGAGCCCCGGAGCGGGTTGTGGTTTCTGTGTGATTATGTGCAATTATCCCGTGGCACGGCGTGGTGATGAATCCTCCTCTCTCTCACTCTTCCCTGCATTTCCTAAAGATCCAGCCCAGCATCTGCTCTGCAGATGATGCAGCTGGGATGGCCCCTGGCAGAATTGTTCCCCACTGCCACCAGAGCGTGGTTTTGTCGCCCTGGCTGACTCCTTGTGCCCTGCACTGCTCTTCACCTCCCTCCCTGCTGCTGGAGCCTGTGAAATCCTCCTGGGTGGCAGAGGGGACACTTTGGAGCCCCGGGCGAGGCTGGCACTGGGGACAAGTCACACCAGCCTGTGGCTTCCCGGAGCAGGGCTGGTGACAGACGCAGCCTCCTGAATCCTGGGCAGCTGACACTTGGGCTGGGCAAGCCAGGAAAGCAGGCCATGCCAAAAGCAGGAGAAAATTGCATTTTCACTGCAGCCCTGTATTTTAATTGATGGCCAAGAGGTTGTTCCTGATGGAAAGTTCTGCTGCTGGAGCTTTGGGACCCGAAGGGAGCTAACTCTGTGAGGGCAAGGAAAGTTCACCAACATCCCAAACAGGAGGTTGTTGCTTTGGTTTTCATGTGGGAAAACACATGGCAGTGCAATTGAAATGACCTGATGCCTTCAGTTTCAGCTTTCCTATTTGCAGCCCCTGCACTGCATTGCTGTGTGAGCTGAACTCCACACAAAGTGTTCAAGTTCTCCTCACAGCTCAGGCACACACAACAATCCTTCTCCAGCCCCACAACCAAGGACACCGTGGCAGCTCCGGGCCCAAAAAGCACAAGCGGCAGCGAATTGAGGAGAGCAATCTGGGAGGATGGGACTGCATCACCTGCAGCTGCAATTGGGCAATTAACCCCAATGTGGAAATGGAGCAGAACCTATCAAAGTGTGAAACTCCTGAGCCAGGGCCCATCTTGGGTCCATCTTGGGTGGATCCTCAGCCAGGCTCTTGCCCTGCCCAAGCCGCATCCTTTGAAAGTCTCTTTAATAAATCCCCACTTTATTCTTTTAACTCTGTCCAGCCTCTGCTCTAGGTATCAGACCAAATATTGCGTCCAAACATTTTTCTGTTATTGATTTTAAAATCCAAACGTTTGTTTGTTGAGAAGAAATCCTTGTGCAATGTGGTTCTTCCTCACAGAGATTTTCCCTCACAGTAAAACTGTTTCATTTCAACAGAATTCTGATGGCATCAGAGTAAAATACTTTTTCCTGGTTGTCAAAAAGAAATTAGTAATAGTTTTCAGTTATAATTTTCTAAGATCTCTGGAAAAAGGGCTTTTTTGGGATGTAATGGTGCTTTTTTATTGCCTGGCTCTTGTTGACATTGACCAATAAATAGAGGCTAAGATGTAAACAACCTCAGCTGCTGGTAAAATAATCTGAGTTTAAATCCATCAGGACAGAATTTTGGTTTGGAAGGTCAAGATCTAATCTGGGGAAAGTTGCAGCTGAAACAAATGTGAGAAGGTGTCTGTTGAACCACTTAACTTTCCCCAGAGTCTGCCTGAAAAAGAATGGATATTAATGCGATACCTGTGAAGAACAGGGTTTGTTTTTCTGGTTTCTTTACTTTCGCTCTTTTGCAGTTTTCTCTGGCTCTCCACCATCCATTCCTGCTGTAGTAGCTGTGGGTTTGGCAGCTGCCAAAAATACCTGTGTCCTCCCTTGCAGAGTGATCCTGGTGATCCCTCCAGCAGATTCCTTGGAGGATGGACTCAAGGAACACTGACCAGAAAAGCAGGTGTGGCTCAGGCTGTGTGAGAACCAGGGCTCAGGACAGGTGTCTTGTACATTGGCTTGCTATCAGAGCTAGAAAACACTTACATGTTAATTGCTTTGTGTGTTAATAAGCTGCAAATGCCTGTGGAATGATGCCAAAAGGGAGATGTATGGGATGCATAGGTTGTGGTGTAATGATCTCATCAATGTGTAATTGGGATAACATATGATGAAGGCATAGCTTTTGCCATTCTGCACAGTGAGCAAAATTTTGATATGCTACATAGCTATTTTTATAAATGCTTTGATGAGCATTTGTATTTTCATTGGTAGTGTATTTCACATCCTTTGGCTCATGAAATCTGCATTTTTGTGCCATTTCTCCAATTGCAGACTCTTAATGAATAAAGAAAAAAAAAATGATAGCATTAGGAAAACTCCAAAGTGGTGCTATCATCATACAGTGTAGACTTAATGCTCTTCAATGGAAGTAAATTACAGAACCCTGTGATTAGGGTGTGCATTTTTCCACTGTGTGACAGAGATTACTGTTAATTTCTGTTAATTCTGTTAATTTTCTTACTGTATCCCCTACCAGTCATATCTGACCTTTGATCACTCAATCTCTTATGGTAAAACAATAAGAAGTGGGAAGCATCATACTTTTGAGCAGAAAAAAAAAAGCATTTTGTGATATGTTAGTGGCATTTTTTTAAAGAGGAGATGCAGCCCTAAGACAACCCTGTCTAATTCTGGACAGAGTGGGGTAAAGTGCTAAAGGGAGGCTCAGCAATACTTGCAAGTGGATTGTTTTTGTGGAATCCAAAATCACTGAGGTTGGAAAAGACCTCTGAGATCATCCAGTCCAACTTTTGGCCAAACATCCCCATGCCAATTAAACCACAGCACTAAATGCCACATCGAGCCATTTCTCAAACACTTCCAGGGATGCTGACTCTGCCACCTCCCTGGACAGCCCCTTCCAATGCTGGAAAACCCTTTCTGTGAAGAAATTCCTCCAGATGTCCTACCTGAACCTCCCTTGGCTTAGCTTGAGGATGGTTTCCCGGGAGAAGATCCTGACGCCCACCCTGGCTACATCTTCCTTTCAGGCAGTTGTAGAGAGCAATGAGGTCACCCCTGAGCCTCTTTTCCTCCAGGCTAAACATCCCCAGTCTCCTCAGCCACTCCTCCAGACCCTTTACAGGTTTTATTGCCCTTCTCTGGACTTGCTCCAGCCCCTCCATGTCCTTCCCGAATTAAGGGGCCCAGAACTGGACACAGCACTGGAGGTGTGGCCTCACCAGTGCCCAGTACAGGAGGACAGTCACTGCTCTGGTCCTGCTGGCCACAATATTTCTGATCCACACCAGGTGTCATTGGCCTTCTTGGACACCTGAGCACAGCTGGCTCATGTTCAGCTGCTGTTGACCAGCACCCCCAGGTCCTTTTCCCTGGCCACTTTCCAGCCACTCTTCCCCTGGCTTGTAGCACTCCATGGGGTTGTTGTGGCTCAAGTGCAGGACCCAGCACTTCATCTTCTTGAACCTCATCCTGTTGGCCTTGTCTCATCCCTCCAGCATGTCCAGATCCCTCTGCAATGGCCTCCTCCCTCCAGCAGTTCAACGCTCCAGCCCAACTTAGCGTTGGCTGTGAACTTCTTGAGGATAACCTTGATCCCCTCATCCAGATCATCAATAAAGATATTAAAGAGGGTTGGCCCTAACAGTGCTCCCTAATGACTGTCCCCAGCTGGATGTGGCACCATCCCCACCACTCTGGGCCCAGCCATCCAGCCAGTTCTTACCCAGCAAAGAGTGCACATGTCCAAGCCATCGGCTGCCAGCTTTCCCAGGGGAACGTTTGGGAGACATTATCAAAGGCTTTGCTGAAGTGTTTGTTGGCAAGTAATTGTATTTCTCACAATCTGATTTTTTAATAATTTTGGAGATTTTTTTATAGCTTTGGAGTTACTTTCCCTTAGGGCTGATTGATTTAGAGCTGCATAAAATCCAGATTGCTTACGTATATATTTTATATATAATAATGTATATAATTTGGATTTCTGCTGTGCTTAATGTAGCTACAGCTACTCTTAGATAGGTATTAGTGTATTCCTAAAATTTAGCCTTTACAGTACGTAATAGCAGTTGGGGATCTTTTTTGGACATATTCTTTTTGTCTCAAAAATGAATAATTAAAGCAACTTGATTGGAAAATTGAAATTCTGTCTTCAACCTGCTGAAAGTTATGAAAAGATACATACTTGATGTATAATGGGGAAGATGTCTCTGTCAGTCATGCAATAAAACTTCTGAACGTCCTCTTAATCAACTTCACTTTTAAATGTTATTAATCCAGATGATCTGTGAGTAATGCAACCAGAGAAGTCGAGACAACAAAAGTCTTCTGCTGTTGAAGATGCCTTTGAGTTGCTATTTTGTATTGACTCAGAAGTGGCAGAAGGGAATTGTTAGAGTGTGTCCAGAGTAGGGTGATGAAGATGATGAAGGACCTTGAGGGCAAGATGTGGAAGATGCCACTGAAGTCACTTGTTTTGCTCAGCTTGGAGAAGAGAAGGTGAAGGGTGCTCTCATGGCAGCCTACGCCTCCCTCACTTTATTAAAGGGGAGACTTGAGGGTTGTGCCTTTAGGTGTGCACAAAAGTACTCAGAAATGTAAAAATCGTGGTTTTCCCCAAACTGGACTGATTTTTAGCTTCTTGCTCTGGCATATTATAAATGTTTCTCATTATTGGTAATGGAAAGGTCCCTCATCAATGATGGCTGTTGTGATGAGGTAACTGCTAGATGGGTTTTAGGACTGTTGGAGGTGGTGGTGCATCAACAGGCTGAAATATGAAAGAATAACAGGTGGTCTAGAGGCAGGGGGAGCAGCTACTGGTGTGAGCAAGCAGTGGCTCAGTGCACAATGCACGCTGTGGGGAGTTTTCATCGTGGCTTTCCTGTTGATTTGAATTGGTTGTCTCCTCTTTCATCAAGTGTGTTCAGCTGTTGATAGATGGAGGAGTGAAATGTTTTCCTGCCTGCCCTTTTTTTCCATGATGCAGTCTTGGTTTGCACAGTTTTTGGTTGTGAGCTGTAGTGTCTGATGCCATCCTAACAACTCTCAAGCAAAGAGTACGCCCTTCAGTTTAAACTCCATTTATTGTGCCTGTCTGGTTACTACCAGGATGTTGAATTTATGGCAGTTTGAAACAGATACTGACAGTCAATATCTTTCCATAGGCATAGAATAAAAGAAAATCTGCTGCAGTGGAATGCTGGCATCATACATAGGTTGCAGAATATTGTGTAATTTTCTTCAGGCTTCAGTAACTCCAAAGCTTTACTTCATTAATGGGCATGAGCAGAGAAATTGGCAGTCGGTAGGGAATGGAAGGAGCAAGACCTGAAGGACTGGAATTAAGCAGTGGCTAGAGGATATTTTTATTTGTTGTTTTATCTTCTTTGCAATGTTGGAACTTTTCTTCACTTCTTGTCAATATGGGGTAACATCAGCGCTTTTTCCAGGTTTATGTTGTGTCTCTGCTCGTAATCATTCTCATTAAACCAACGTGTGAAGAAATGTTTGAGGAATGGTGCAGTCTGTGCAAGGACTGATGTTGTCAGGTTTTACTGTTTTAGAAAAGAAGAAAACATTGGCTTGCTCGATTCCGCTTTAGAACTCGTGCTAGACTAGTTCTAGGACTAAAGGCTAGAAGAAATCCCACATGAAGGCTTTGCCATCGCTTTTCAGTTCTGAGGTGAAACAAGACATTTCGAGGTGTAACAGGCTGGGTAATGATGATTTCACCAGCAGAGATATTTAAGCTGCAAGTCGCCTAAAGCTTGGTTTTGCAAAGCGCATCAGCTAGTTCTTAATTTCAAACACATGTTTGAATCCATTCTAGCTGAGCAAAATCCATCTTCTTTCCCACCTTCTGTTAAAAATCTGCCAGACTCACAGGGAAGGAAAAGCCACCAAAACACAGTCTAGAACATAATGTGCCTTCCAACATAGGGTAGAGTATCAGAAACCAGGCCACACCAGTCCCCTGGTGACACATCAGCAGCTGTGGCCCAAATACAAAAGTGTCCCTTCTGTGCTGCAAACCTCTCCTTGTGGACTCTGCAGCCTCCTGTCCAGCTTGCTGACCTTCTGGAGCAGCTCCATAAAAGTGGATTGTGCTCCCTGTTCCCCTGCTTGTCTCACATTGCCATAGGTGGCATAGCACTGTGTGTACCTCATTCTGCTTTTCTCTGGTGTGCAAGTTAACCTCTGCCAGGTGAAAGGTCTGGGGACTTCTTTGGTTGCTTGGAAGGCAGAGCTCTTTGGTGTTGCCCATCCTGGGGCTGCTTCCCTAAACCAAATTGCTTCTGGAGACTATATTTATTCTTGCATCTCAGTGAAGGAGACAATAATAGCTGTTTTTCACCATGGCTTAATTAAACTTTTAAATGCAGGGATAAAATAGAAGATCTCTTGTTTGGTTTAGGTTTTCTTTCTTGGTTTTCTTGATTTTGTTTTTGTTTTTGTTTGGTTTTTTTTTTGTTTTCTTTTTAGAGAGAGAAGATGCTGAACATAATTCCATCACATTCCTGTGGAATGCTCACAGGAACCTGAAGGAGCTGGTCTAACCATCTACTGTGGCCTGTGTGTATGGATGATGGGTGGTGTAGAAATTTAGGAGGAAAGAAAATTGTAGGAAGAAAGAAACTTAGCTTTAAATAGGTGCAATGTGATCCATTTTCCTCCCTTTTGCTGTAAGGTGTCCCACTGCTGGCTCCTGTCCATGTGGGCTGATCCCAGTTGGTGCTGCTGGCTCTGCTGACCCGTGGGCTCAGGGGTGGCTGGAGCCAACGCCCAGCCCATTTTATGTGTCTCAAGATCTGCTCTGCTTGCTCTTCCACACCATTATGCTGTTAGTCATGGGGCTGTGGAGGAGGTTGGCATCCCCTGTGTCTGATCCAGATGTGCTGCAGCTGGAGGGAAGGGTTTAGCCCCATGTTTTTCCTCTGCTTGGCTATGCAAGGGGACACAGATTGGCATGGTATCAAGTGCCAGGACTGAGTTTTGATCTATTGTCTTGACGTGGGGGAAGAGGAAATAAAACCCCTCCACCTTAAATTTTACTCTTGAGTGAATCTTAATCTTTAAATTAGTACAAATGTTAGCATTCCCATTCTGTGGTTTTAGAATAACTGTAATCATTTCAAGAACACAAAGCCTAGGAACATTATGGTGTTGAATGCAGAGTAAACTGGTGTTTGAAATGATGTGTTGTGCATCTGCACATGTCATTAAAAGAGTTTAATGTCCTAATTTGTTTTGGATCTTGCCCCCCTCTCCTCTTGTTCATCCCTGTTTTATTTTCTCCCTTTTGTGCCTGTAATTGCGTGTGTTATTAGAGCTGGCAGGATGAGCACCTCCAGATGCATCCTACAGGAACGCAGCCAGTGCTGACTCTATTCCCACGTCAGACTGCATGCCAAGCCACTGAAGCCTGCTTGTCAAATCCCATACCCTTTCTGCACTGCTTCAAACCCATCTTCTCACACAATATTTTGACACAGGGTGACTCATGGCAACCTCAAGAGTTGTCCCAGCCTTATGAATGTGTCTTTCAGTATGTTGAGACATCCCTGGTAAAAGCAGGATTTTGGAATAGCGTGGCCTAGGCAGCTTTCCTTATCCTTCTGGCAGATGATGTGAGTTGAGGGGTTTAAAATCTGTTCTGTTGAACCTTTCACTGGATTTCATGTCTGGGATTTTTTTTTTTTTTTTGCGGTAAACTTTCTCTGAATTTTTATGCACTCTGAAAAAAACAACAAAAAATTCACTTGTTTCACCAAATTTAATGCATTTTGTGTTGTGATTTGTGCAGCAAGATAGCAACTCTTCATTTTGGGGAAGAATATACTCATTTTACTTATTCTTTCACAGGTATCAGGCAACAGCATATCAATGATGCTCCTTCTATGGGATCTTTTCCTAATTGGAGATCTATACTATCACCAACACGGCCTTCCACAGAAACTAAGACTCCCTCAGCAGCTGATATTTCTCTGGGACAGACTTTGGAGAACGCAGACTTGCTTCAGATGATAAAAACAACGCTGACTGGCGCACGTACCAGGACTTTGGATCAGATGCACCTGGCACCCTCCCTCTATCAAGGCAGTGGGAACAGTGCACCTCAGGAACCCGCTGAGGTTTCAGCTGAATCGCCTCTGAGGCCGTCGTCTCAAGACACAGATGACACAGCTGCTCTAACAGGTTTGCCTCAGCTTGGTATGTTTGCCACCCTGTCCACCACACCACCAGTGACACATTTGAGTACAGCTGTGCCATCCCAGCCAGTGCCATTAGAAACACCCTCCATTCCCAAAGAAAGCACATCAGGATCAGACATGCTTGCTGCTGTTCCATCACCATCATTCTCCTCATTGGTAATTCAGTCACCTCATGCCATTAACTTTTCTAAACCAGATGTACTGTCCATCCAAGTGCCTTTGTCTGCAGATCCTGCAGGTTTCTTCAGCACAGATTCAGCTAGCTCACAGGTCAGTGAAAGCAGGAATAGCACTCTAAGCATGGTACATTCCAGTGTGGTGAATCACAGAGAGGGTCCCAACTTGTTTATGGGGGCCATGCTTTTCATTGGATCAACAACAGTGCATTTCACAGAGTTAGTGGGAAAAGGGTTTCCTTTGGAAAGGACCTCTTTGTCATCTGTATACTCTGATATTCCTGGGTCAAAAGTGCATCAGTCTCCCCTGACAGTAACTTCCAAAATTTGTCATGGTTCCTTAATGAGAGTGTGTATAATGTCTCTTCTGCTGGAGCCATTTAGGGCAGCACTGACTGGCAGAATGAGTGGTATCACTCTTCTGTCATCATCAGTTTTTCAGGATAAAGCAGAGGTTCCTATGTCAGTCTTCACGCTGCGGGTAGTCCACATCTAATACTGCTAATGAGTCACCCTCAGTCTTTCACAGCACTGACTAATTGTACTACAGGTTCTAACCCTGCACCTTTCATGTCATCAGCCTCCAAGAGCCTGGCTGAGGTCTCCAGCTCAGCACAGAGCATGTCCTCCCTTTCACAGCCAATATCACTCATCCCAGATGTAAAGCACGCTCGCAGTGCAGCGCTGCCAGTACGAGAATTTAGAAGCAAAACAGATATTCTCTTTAGAAATGCAACACACTCCTCCCCAACAAGCCCAAGGTCTCCCTTGCTAACTGAGACAAACGAGGTGTTTACTGGGGCAGCACGCACAGCCAGTCCCAGAGCAGCAGCAGCCAACCAGGACAGGCTGCAAATCCCTCCCGCTGCTGCCTCGCAGCGCTCGCCGCCGCCTCTGAATCAGACTTTTGCAGAAGGCCTGACTGATGGAACTCAGCAGGCAAATAGCACGAGTCTCCCAGATGCTTCTGCCCTGCTCTCCCAAATCTTGGTGGCTTTCCTGTGGCAAGGACAGCTCAACAGCCTTCCACAAGAGGAGTGACAGCAGAGATGTCCGTGAACTTTGATGCTAATAATGTTCTGCATTATGGAACTCAGCTTTCCAAACTTTCTCCAGATATCCAAACCTGTACAATGCTCATAGGATCAAGGATACTGGACACTGTTTTGGAGATGGCCATGATGACTCTTGATCTAGCTGCAGTGCTGTTAATTACTTCCATTGTACGCCTTTCAAAACCTGAACTTGTTACCACAAATACTTCTGCTGCTACTGTTTTCGTGACTGCACATCTAACACCTGGAGATGCAGAAAGTTCAGACCTAACAGTAAATGAAGACAAAAAGATGAGAGTACCCACTCTTGTGATTCCACATGCAGAATATTCATCTCCAAGAGCTTTAAATCATTTAACCTCTGGTCAGACTTTGCATTCAGTTGATAAAAAGCCACTCTCCTCTGTCATGCCTCCAGCGTGGGGTATGCTGCCATCACTTGTTTCTGTGACAACAATGATGGACAGCCACAGTTCTGGCTCTTCCAGGATTTTGAATGCAGACTCTGAAAGCAATTTAGATCCTGTCAGCCTTCCTGAAGTTGTAACTTCAGTTGCTACGTGGACCAATAAAGCGTTGCTTTCTGCAGCTGGCATTAGTATTCCTTCGGTAAAAACTTCAGCCCAGATGGGAATAAGGGAAGTTGCTCCAAGTATTTTTCCATTGGAAGATGAGCACCATGCACCATCCTTGGTAGTGTCAAGTCTGCAAAACAAAATTAATACAAATGAGCAGCCACTCTTCTCCACCCCTCCAGCAAACTATACATATACATCTTATAGTCAAAACATTTCAAATTTACCCTTTGCTGAAAAGAATAACTTTTCAGAATTTGATGTAGATGCATTTGCACTGAAAACATCTCCTGTTCAGTATTCATCCATTGCTACTGCATTGACAATGCCTGATCCTGTGCAAAAAAATCATGGAAACATGGCTGAAAACACTGCTGATTTCTTCCGTGTTGGAGATGTTCCTATCAGTGCGCCTGAGGAAGCACCTCTCCATTTACATGTTCCTCCTGTTAATGCTGGAGGTGCTCTCCCAAGCTCTCTAGAATCCCAAACAAGTGATGCTGGAAAGATTACTGAGTGAAACATTAGGCACAGCACTGGTGTTGGCTTTTCAGCTCATTGACAGCTTGACTACTTCAGCCCCAAACAGAAGCAGAGTCATCCTTTGCCAGCCCGGTCCCCTTTCTCTGTAACCAAGCTTTCTGGCTCAACTCTCTTGAATAGTTTTATCTCAGAAGACACTGGTTCTGGAAGTTTTCCAGAATTTTCTGGCAACCAGTTGTAGTCCCCTGGTTATTTGGTGATGGCTGATAAATATCCAGCCACGTTCAGTGAGGAGGAGTGGGACACAAGTGCCACAAGTCAGTCTAGCTCCCAGTAACATATCTAATAATGCTACCAAGGGCATCCCATTGCAAACCCCTACCACCAGTGCTCTGCAGTCAAGTCATCATAACTTCTGTCCATGCATCACCAATACAGATAGAGTCTCCTTTTTTGCCAACAACCAACTTTACCCATTCTGTTCTTACAGTGTTATCTGGAGTATCTTCTGGTGCAATACCTACAGTAGAAACTTCAGAAGCAAAACCACTAACAAGGAAATCACCTCCAGCTTCACCAGTGCCAGCTTCTTCCTTCTTTTCTCTAGGCACTGAAAACACACCTTTGCCATCTGTGATGGCTTTAAGCACACCGATACTGACACTAACAAAAAATAACACTGCCACAAAAGCGACATTGGATCTAAGCTCAGTAGGAGCACAGGCAGATTTTCCTTTTGCAACGAGAAACACGACTGCCTCACCTCTGGACATGCCAGCTCTGCTCGTAACCCCCAAGAGCAGCACGGTCACAGCTTCCACACTCACAGCACCCACAGCCCATGTACCGAGGCAGATAGAAACAACAGTAACTGACACCCAGAAGTTCCCGCGCTCAGACATCACCAAAACGCCAACCCCATACCCACTGACAGTGACAGCAGCTTTGACATCTATTACAGCATCAGCGAAAACAACTAGGCTTCCCCCCTCCGCAGTGGAACTCACCCCAGCTCCTCCCGACACCACGGCAGCAGCCGCTTTCGCTAACATGACGGCAGCTCCCTCCCTGGATTGCCGGCTCTCTGCCAACATGATGGTGAAAACAGGTATGTGCAGCCCCTGGGCTCGCTGAAGGGATCTCCTGTGCCCGTGAGGGGCAGCTGCTGAGGCGTGAGAAGCACACCCCAGTGTCAGAGAGCGTGGGGCAGTAGTGGTTAACCTGCTGCGCCGACCAGCCAGAGGGGTGCAAGCGGGGTTGTTGTAGATGGAGATGGCATTGGCTTTACTTGGGACTTGGGTTTTAACACCAGTGTGGCAAATGAAGTGGTGAGATCAGCTGCTGTGAAGTTCAGGGGGTGGCTGCAGGACCACCTGTGTGGAGGGACAGCCCTGTGAGCCGGGATGGTTTGGTGCCTGTGTCGCTGAAGAGGACAGTGCAGTAACCTGCCTTGGTCCTCAGCCCTGTTTATGCACAAAAACCTAATTCTGTTCTGATATGGACACCTAATTCTATCATTACAGATCTGCTTGAAAATATGTTTAGCATTTAGAGTTGCACACTTCAAAATGGGAGGATTTTGGGTTCTCTATATGAACAGTGCCACTTGTGGCTCTGGCTGTGTTTTTGTGGGCAGCTTCTCCTTAGCTGTCTCTTAAAGGGGCCTGGAGAGGTACCTTGCCCAGGCTTCTCATGGGCTCCTTTTGGCAGCACAGCACCAGAAGATGTGTGTGTCTTGGAGATCTCAGCAAAGAATAGGTACAGAAAAGAGTTTGTGACCTTGCATGATGCAGGCTACAGTGAAATAAGCAGCTTTTGGACCTAATGTGTGTTTGTTAGCTGCTAAATATCCCCATCAGTAGTGTGATGAGTACAGTAGCAATTTCTAAAGATAGAAGTAGCTTGTGTACAGTATATGATTGAAGGTACTCAAGCACAGCTATAAAATTCTTTCTGCAAATTATAAGAGCAAAAGAAGAGGGTGGTAGGTTTATTAAAGAAAGCATACAAATGCTGCCTAAACAGAAAATAATTGTAACAGTGGAGCAGCAGATTTCTTTTATGTAACTGTGGCCATGAAGATGTGGAGCTTGCCCGTGCAGCTCTGGCTCAGTCCCCTGGGGATGCTGTGCCAGTCTGTCCTCAGGCAGCAAGTGGCCTCGTGCCTCCTTGGAGAGGCAGCATGGCAAAGACTTCTTGTTGCTGCTAAAGAAATTGCATTTGTTAGACCTTGCTCTGGAAGCATGGAAACAATGGGCTATTGCCATGGGATGAATAGGGAACTCAGGAGCTGCTGAGCCCCTGCAGTTCTTGTCTTTGGAGCTGCTGCTAATCCAAGCTGCTTTGATGATCCCTGCACAGCCAGCCCCATGTAAAACAATTAAAGAAAGCAAACAGGAGCGTGGTGATGTCTCAGACCACCCTGTGGCTTTTGTTGCTCCACAGTTCTGTTTCTGAACACAAGGAGGATGATGATCAGCAATGCCTTCAGGGAGAGTGTGAGAAAAGGCCTCAACCAAGTGCTGAGACAAGCTTTCAACCAGAACGTCAGCGCTCAGGTAAGCGTGCTGGGCTTTCCATGCATGATTTCACCAGAACAGCTCCCCCACCAGAGAGCCACAGCTGGCTGCAGCTCCAGTGGTGTCTCTGGATGCAGGAAGCCTCTTGAAGGGGAGCACTGAGATGACTATGGAGAGCAGGCAGAGGTGGCACCCACCCTGGTCTCTAAAAATATAGGGAATACTGCAAAGCTTTTAGCGGCTTATTTGATGAAGAAGAGAGAAATGCAAACTTCTTTTTAGTGTGCTCTGGGAAATGACTACTGACAGCAGTTTGCTCTTCTCCCTGCAGCTCAGGAGTGACTTCTGCTCAGGGCAGCCAAGTGCTGCTGTGCTCAGCCTGGATCAATGGCAAGAGCAGGGCTGGTAAACGGGATGTCACTGCTGTCAGTCCCACCCCCTGCTTTGAAAACCCAGTACCTGACAGGTGCAATTTCACAGGGACAAGAAGCCTGAGCAGGGAGAAAGCACATCTCACTGAAAATAAATGGAGGTGGATGTGTTCATCTCACCTTGCAGCTAAATTGCACGAGCCTCTGCACTGCTGTGTGTGAGAGCAGGCTCGGGAGGGCTGCCCTTTTCCTTGGGACACAGCTTCCTGTGCCCTTAGGCTGGGGTTTGTGCTGTTAAGCCAAACCTCTGGGAAGGCAAAAAGTAATTTTTCTCAAAACAGAGGTCATCAAGTTGACTTTGGTCCTCATGCTTTATTGCTGCAAGTGTGGAGGATGTCAGTGGGTTTGGGAAATATGTGTTCCTTGGCAGCAGCTATGAAAGCTGCCAGGTTTCATCCCCCACCTTTTTGAAAACTTGAGAGGAGCTGCCTTCTTCTAACAGAGGAAACCAGCTAAAACTTAGTGAGGAGGACCAGTTCCAGGGGTAAAACATTTTGGAAAATGCAGAATTTTGAGGTAAAACTCAGCTCACGTTTTGACTTACAGTCTGTCTGTTCTTGTGGTTTGGCATTTCCACTCGTATAGGTCCACTCATAGACTCAGCCAGCTGGGACAGTACAGAACAGGAGATAAGAGACAGCCCAATCAAATATTGGAAACTAGTCCTTCAAAAATCTGTCTGCGAACCTGCAATGGCAGAAACACGCAGGAAGCCAGTGAGCTTCAGGCATGGGGTAGTGTTAGCATTCAGGAACACAGTCACAGAATGATTATATGAAGGTGTTTTATTAAAGAGCTCTGGGTGTCAGGGGTACACAAACCCAAATCTGACCCAGTTTGGTTTTGAGCTGAACATATTTTATACTCTATCATTATATAACTTACATATTAATTATTAAACTTACATTGTTCTGTTGTATACATTGATTTTACCCAAGCATGGATTTCTCATGATCCCCCTCAAACCCCTAACATTGTTCCTCATGATTCTTTAAACAATAATTATATCTAATCACATCTAACAGTTATATCATTTATCATATACTGACTACACAGGTGCAGTTTCACATGATCTTAGCAAGCACAAGGCCTAACATTTCCCAGGGCCTACTCTTAACGCTTTTCCCAGGGCTTGCCAAGCCTAAATTTCTTCTTAACTCCCCAAATTTTCTATGATTTTAAAACCTTTTACTATCAGTAGCTCTCTGTGTTTTTCCATGCATATGTAAAATGTCCCAGTGTCTGTGCACGAACGAAGGCCCAGCCTAACCTGGAGGTTTGCAGCTGTGGTGGCAGCTCTGCACTCCTTCAATTTGGAGCCCATGCTGCATGAGCTGAGCCTAAAACTCTCTGAGCACTTCTGCTCATACCGTGTCTGCTATGACATTGATCCCACAGTGGGGATTACAGGATAAAAACCCTGCAAGGGACGCACATTCAGGGTGAGAAACCCCATCAAACTTTGGCTGAGCTGCAAGCAAACTAACAGAAGCACGTGCTTGCTTCCCTGTGTGTTTTAGGTGGAAATCCTGGAGCAGTCGAGTAACCTCACGGTTGGTTACTACGTGACGAGGGGCAGGCTGGTTTTCACGCCGGCTGCGGTCACTGAGAAGCTGCTCGCCTACGGCATCGGCAACGCCACGGCAGACATGAAGCAGCACGTGCCACACCTGCAGGCTGTGGTGGCCCTGGCCCTGCCCTGGCAGCCCCTGCCTGCCTACCACTTCCAGCTGAAGACGGGTGAGCGAGGGCTGCCCTGCCCGGCCCGGCCGTGAGCTCATGGAACAGTGCCCAGGGACTCTCTGGGCCACGGCTCTGCTTTGGGTTTGATGGCCACAGAGGCTACCTAGAACAGAGGCTAGGCAGTGTTAAAGGAATAAAGTGGCTAAGGATCACCTTAGCTCCTTTTTTAAACCTTTTTTTAGCATCTTTAATATCTTAAGTATCAAAGGATGCGGCTTGGGCAGTGCAAGAGCCTGGCTGAGGATCCACCCAAGATGGACCCAAGATGGGCCCTGGCTCAGGAGTTTCACACTTTGATAGGTTCTGCTCCATTTCCACATTGGGGTTAATTGCCCAATTGCAGCTGCAGGTGATGCAGTCCCATCCTCCCAGATTGCTCTCCTCAATTCGCTGCTGCTTGTGCTTTTTGGGCCCGGAGCTGCCACGGTGTCCTTGGTTGTGGGGCTGGAGAAGGATTGTTGTGTGTGCCTGAGCTGTGAGGAGAACTTGAACACTTTGTGTGGAGTTCAGAGCTACTAATGCAGTGCAGAGTCCGGAAAATGTGAAAGTTAAAACTCAAGGCATCAGGTACAGGTGTTGCTTTCCTGTGGGCAGCCCTGCCCTTCCTGGTGCTCTGCTGCCAGGGCCACGGGCACTGCTGTGAGGGTGATGCCTCAGGATTTTAGCTTTTATGTTTTGCATATATTTGTAATCCTGCAATTCTTTAGTGTCTACCTCTAAACTCCATATAGAGTGTTAGCTGCCGTTCTCCCAGTTTGGTCAGACAGAACAATTCCCCTCCAGACCTGGGAATCCAGGACACCTCACTGTCTCAGGCCCTGGGAAATGCAAACAAAAGTGAGTTGGACGGAGAAAATTTGGGGTAAATTACTTAATTACCTGAAGCTGTAATTGGAAGATTAACCCCCAATATACAAATGGACCAAACTAACAAAAGAGTGAAAAATCGTGACCCGTTGTCCATTTTGGGTGCAGCTCCTGGGGGACCTTTGTCTGCTCAAAATGTACCTGAAGGCCCTTCAATAAATAGAACTGCTTTTTATTCCCTTAGTTTTGCCTGGCCTCTGTTTTAAGGTAGTCCCAAAAAGCCATTAAGGGGAGGTGGCAGCAAGCATCAATGCAGAGTCGGTGAGCACAGAGTGCTCTGAAATGATGTATTAAATGATAAAAAATATTTCTTGCATATGTGCTTACAATGTTTGTATACACATACTTATGGCAGTTAAAGTTAAGTGTATTTTTCCTAGAGTGAAAATAAAACAGAATAAGAATCACTATTATGATTGATAATATTTTTCAGGACCAAATGACCTGCAAGATTTAAGATTATAACTTGTCTTTTGGAATGACTTTGCTTACTCCTGGCTCTGAGCAAGAATATGCACAGTGAACAGGCCCTACCATCATATATATCATTGCAGAAGCAATCTCCATTTGTTTGTGGAGAGTATCAGCTCTAATAATGCAATTTAATTCTTACATTTTGTCTTAATTAAGGCTAATTTAGTGCAGTTCCTGAAGTGGAATTATTTTCACACACTTAATGTGTAAATTGATCATTTTTTTCTTGGTGCTGCAACTGAGAATATTTTGTCCACATGCTAATGCCTTCCTTTTTCCAGAGCTGCAGTTTGTGGGCCAAACTGACAATATTCAGTCATGCAAATTTGTTCAGACCATGGAACAGAGACTCCAAAGGGCATTTCAGGATGCTGAAAGAAAGGTCCTCAACACCAGCAACAACTTAACTGTTCAGGTACGGTGTCGGGAGCTTTGCCAGTGCCTGTTGCCAAACACTCCTGGTTATTCTTTGCCATGTTTATGTTTTTATTCCAACACAGTGCCTTTGCTAGCCACTGTGGAGGGTAGTTTATGTTTTCATCTGCAATAAGATTGTTTTATGCATTGCAGGAAAACTTGATTTATAGAAGGCTGTTGCTTTTCATGAATTGGTGTTTTTGCAATACAAGTTCAGTCATATAAATGAAATTCCAAGTATAAAAACAGAGTCTTCGAAATTTATGTTTTTATTGAACATGTTATTCTGACACATTAGCTGCTTTCAGAGAGGCTATTCAGGTAAGAAGATGGTGCTAGGCACAGTTGTTTTAAAGACCTGAAATAATGGAATAGATTTCTTTCTCTTGGTATGCATTTCAGTTTCACACTCGTGGGCACAAATTCACCACAAAGGGTCTCATTTTTACACACCTTCAAATGTAGAGTGGGCCAACACTCTTATGCTCTATGCCATACTTCAGGAATAAAGAAATGATCCTCTGGGCAATATTATGGGTATATTTTTGATTTATGATAAAACCATGTATAGATTGTGTTCCTCAGAAGGAAAAAAATTACCATCAGCACTCTGCTTAGTTATTTTGGTGCTGTTTCATGTGAGCTTCTGTTCAAACTGGAGGAGTTCAGAGAGGCAGCAAAGCACAGGGCAAGAGAGGGCCTACCACAGTAGGTAAAGCAGTTATCAAGCTTTTCAGTAGCTGAACTTGGGACATTGAGGGGAACTCCATGGTGCCTAATTTGCTTGTGGTGGAAGTGGCAGATCTCACAAAGCACCCAAGCAGTTTTGGAGAGAGCCCTAGAAGAAGGTAGTAGCTGTTTTCGTGGGTATTGCCAATTTAAGGAGAGATAGGATGGAGGTCCTGGAGGCAACATATAAGCTGGGAAGTAACAGGCTCAAGGGTGTGATCTTCATGATAAATTTTTCTGAAGGCATTCCAGTATCTTGCAAAAAGACTAAGTCTGTGCAACAAAACATTGTATGAGGGCTTTAGATTAATTGAGAACTGGGGAACAGTTCTGGAGCAGACAGAGCCAGTCCAGAAAAGGCATTGCTGCCCTAGGAGAGTAGAGGGAAGGTGGATAAAAGGCATGAAGCATCTTCCATGCAAGGAGAAATGAAATTGGCCATATCTCTCCAGCCATGAACGCTGTAGTGAATCAGGAACTCTCACTTTGAGTTCCCCATAACAGAACTACTCAGATTTAAATAAAAAGAAGCATCCTTTCACATACTATGTGATAAAGGTGTCCAGATGTAAGTGGAGAAAAAAATATGTAAATTACAAAAAACTTTTGGCCAAAGATATGGAATAAAAAGTCATCAATCCTTTTTAAACCCAGGCATATGATTTATGGCTCTGATATAGCTATGGGATAATCTCACACTGTTGAATGCCATTTATTCCTCTTGTCCTGTGCTAATTCTCCAATCCTCTGCTCCAGACATTTGTAAGTGGACATTGGCTAGGCAAACTTTTGGTCTGACCTTGGGCTCTTCTGATGTGTTTTTTACACCATGGTTTTCTTTTAACTTGATGATCCAAACCATAAAAATGGAGTATTTAAAAAACATTTATGAATGCTGTTGGGCCTACCTATCAGTAGCCAAATAATCCCATCCCTCTTGCTCTTGGGCATAAGTTTTCCAAGAAAACTTGTGGGTTTTGTTCCTGGTGTTTGAGAATCTCATCCAGTACTTGGGTCCTCAAAATGTAGTAATCAAATTTGGGTTCAGGAAGAGACTGGCACTGAGCTAGAGTGGATAGGAGAGCAGGTATTCAAATGATATTAGGAACAGAAAGATGTGATATCCCTTAATTTCATACTGAAAATGTGTGGGTCTAGAAACAAGCAGTAGGAAGGCAGCAAAGACAGCAAGATAAACAGGAAAATTTCTCTGAATCCAGCACTGGATGATTTTTCTGATAAGCATCCTCTCCCTCATCCACATTTCCTGAGAAAACCAGGGGAAAACATTTTCAGTCTTGACTGCACCTTATCTGCCTTCTGCTGTCCTCCAGGAACCCTGCAAGTGCTAAAGCAGGGATTAAAGTATCACACAAGTAAAATTGAATGAGACGTAGGTAATCCATTCTTCAGGTTAACATTTCCCCAGTTTCTTTGCTCTGCCTTGGTGTTTTGGGTTTTTTTTTGGTGTTTTTTCTTTTTAATGAGCTGAACCACAGCATCACATTATTTTTTGCCTCTGTTTCAGATATTGAACACCTCCAACGTCTCCCAAGCTGTCACTCTGTTTTACGTAGTGAAAAATCAAAGCACAACTCTAAATGGCACTATTTCCAGCAACCTTCTTAATCAGCTGTCAGCTGAGCTGGTGGGTTTCTACCTCACCTACCCACCTCTCACCATTGCTGAGTGTAAGTATGTGCTTCCCAGCATCAAGATTAGCCAGCACCACAATTTGGCTTTGTTGTCAAGCTCAGGGATTATAGGTAGATTTTCTGGCTATTTTTTAAACTGTATTTTGCTAAAAAAAAAAAAAAAAGGGTGGAGGGAGGAATTAGATGATTTTTTTTTTCCCTGTTTATTTTGGCCTCTAGCAATGCTGGCCAAAAAAACTAAGGAAAAACATATATAATCTGTCATTAATAAAAAAAAATTAAAATCCTGTGCCAGGTTTCAAACAAAATAAAATTTTAGTTTTGTGAAAAGCAAAGCACAAAAGGCCCCAAAGTCTTCATTTTAGGAATGCTTAGCACATCACTGAACGAACTTTAGCTTCAGCATTGCCCTCTGCTTCTATGGAATCATCAGCCCCGGTGGTTGCTGGGCTGGGATCAGGCTGTGAGTGTGTTTTTGGGTAGTGGGGTGAGCTCCATCTGTGCTTCTATTTTAGAAAGTTGTTGCATTTGCTGAGCAGCATCCTCAGCTTACACGTGGTGCGAGCACTTTGGCATCGACAGTTTTCTTGCGTTCCAGTTGCTGTGAAGGCTCTGAGGTACAGAGAGCTGGTGTGGGCAGCCCCTGTGGTGTGTGTGCTCTCTGAGTCTGCCTGCTAATTTCTTTAAAGTGATTAAAGGGACAAGACACTCGTCTTGGGGGTTTCTGTTTAATCTGCTTTGTAAATGTGATGTGTAAAATTAAGCTGGCTGCAGACTGGAGTTGTGTGTTTGTGAGAAGAGGCAGGGACATGCTGGGTATGTCAATGCAGAAGCAGACTGCTGGAAAGTGAGCACTGGGGAAAACAAAAATTGCCTCTTTTTTCCTTTTTGGCAGTCCATTTTGTTTGCAAACAGCCCCAACAGCAGAGAAATTACATGGTACAATTCTTCATCGGTGACTTCTGTGGGATAAGTGGTTTCTCCTTGCTGTGAGGCAGTCAGGAATCACAGCTAACTTAGGTGACCGTGCAGATCTTTGGGAAAGGAGGTTTGTAAGCTGTTCTTGAGGCATTGCCTATCAAATTACAATATTTGGATACAAATATGTGAAACTGCCCTGTAAGCTCTTGCACTGTGTTGGTGCACTTTCAAATCAGAGTTCCCATCACAGGGTAAGAGACACATCTCAAGGTGGGCTTGTGTTTTCATAGATTCTTTCCACAGGCAAGGGGAGGCAGAGAGAGAGAGAGGCTGTTGATAATGAGTGTGGTCATGGACCTGGAAGGGATGTCCCCCATTTCTCATCAGACAGGCTCTTTTCTATGGCAGGTGGATGCCCTGTGCTCAGGACATGTCTTCAGGAGCCATCCACGAGCACAAGGAGAAAGCTGGAGGAAGTTTTGATGCTGGCTATGCTCAGTTCAAGTGTTTGGCCTCCAAAATAGGCCTTTTGCACAGGAAGAGGATTGTGATGTTTCTCACAAAGGCAATACAGGGATGTGCTTGGTAGTCAGGAGCTGTGCAAATCATTTGTCACACAGCAAGTCTCGTGTGGTACTGCAGTTCTCTGCTGATCCCCACACATGATGAACAGACCTGATAAAGTCTTTAGCAAGTGTTCCTTTATCAACTAGTGGCTTATATTTTATTTTGGAGCTCTTGGTTATATTCCCAGTGCAGCAGCTGTACTGCAAACTCATGAACTCAATGCACGCCCAGTGTTTATGGCTCCAGACTGATAGTGTGTCTGGAAAATGTTTTCTTTGAGGAGTGTTTGATGCTTATTCATGTGGAAGTGTAGTTGTCTCAGTTTATCAAACAAATATTGAGGTTGTTCTCCGAGCATGTTATTTCCCAGTAGGCTCCAGTGGCTCCTCCAGAGCCTTTGCAGTCTGTCATGGAAATGCACAGCTCAGGGCACGCTGTGAAATCCTCCTCAAAAGCAGCTGCGCAATCAAATCCTTTGCAATGTTTACTATTCCAAGTCACTTTGGGGTGTAAAAATCAAGGTGACTCCATAGCAGCCTATCAATGTGCAGAGCACGGATGTTTTCTGAATGAAGTTCCCGGTATTAATCTATTGAGCAAACCCTGAGCTGTGTAATGAATTAGCAGCATATTGAGCTTTACAGCCTAGTGCACTTCAGAGATGGAGGAGCTAACAAAAGGCATCACAACAGCAAATATCAGCTTCTCACAGATGCAGACACATATAGGTGGGGATGCCTTAGATGGTGCACAGCGAGAGAGCACCACGCTCGGAGGTGTGCTCGCAGTTTTGTTAGTCTCGTTTGCAATCCATGTGGAGTCTGATCCTGCTATATTTTCTTATTATTTTAGGCTAAAACTATGGTCTGGGCTATGTAAAGATTAATCCAGAATCATCATGGAATCTCATCTGGTTTTCTGCAGGGGAGAAAGCAGCAGAGATGAATTTTACCTGTTTCACCTCTTACCTATCCTTCTTGGTTCTGGGCATTCCTGGGCTTCATCCCAGACTCTGTCCCAGCCAGTATTTTGGCAACAGGAGATATATGTTCTACTTTGTATGGCAGTGCTTCTTCTGTTTACACCTGGTGCTCTTTTTCAGACAGAAGAGAAATTGTTACCCTGAAAATTATGCTCTAGATCTCCTCTTGGGCCATAGTTCAGTTTTATTTGTTGCTGTCTGGGTAGCCAGTTTTGGGATGCATAACGTGTAGGATGTTGGAATATTATGGCATAATTTAATCTTCTATTTTTAAAGCTTTGGAGTATCCAAACCTTGATGTCTCGGAATCAACTAGAGACTACTGGGTGATAACAGGTACTTTCTAATGTCCTTCCCTCCTCCAGGCACTCCAGGTAATAATTTTTAGTGCTCATTTGTATGAACACAGCAGTGCAGCAATTTTACACAGAAATAAGTGGCTGCCCACTGAACCTGCCTTCAGCTGGGCAAATGTGCTTATTGTTACTCTGGGGCATAAATGATTGATCATCTTGAGCAGTGACATCTCCAGTGACCAACACCCACCTCAGAGTTTATAGCACTTTCTGAGAGTTTTGACACACAAATAGACACTTTTTTTTTTCCTTTTTCAAGACCCTGGGACATGGATTTAAATCTGAAATCAAAAGAGACACATAGACATTACTCTGGAACAAAGGTGAAGCTGTTACAGCAAGGAACTTTGTTATGATTTGCTGACTATCTGGGTCCAGGGTTTTTGGATTTTTGAATGTTTCACTTGAAGCTTTTAGGCTTCAAAATACTTCTTTTATCAAGTTGTTTCACAGGTGCCACATTCTCATGCACAATCACTTTGACTTCAGAAATGACACCTGGGCAAGAAAGAGACCCTTTCTCTCAGACATCTTTGAGATACCAGAGCCTTTCTAGTTGGTGTGTCTGTACCTGGAATTGTTTAGTGCTCAGGAGAGCAAGAACAAAGGGCTCTGACATGAAATAGACTTGGTACCAGTTCCACCTTTTCATAAATTTGAAATAAAACATAAGTTTATGCAGAGATTATGATCCTCTGAAGGGAGTGGTACAGCTCCTCCCAGTATGGACCCTGTGAACCTGATACTCCATTTCTTGCCTCTGTGCACTCTCTGTGGATTGTTATTGATGTTACAATGGAAACTGTTTTCAAAAAGATCCTGGTGACTCAGAAGACTTTTTTGAAATAATACTGTAAAAACCATACATATGTATCAATTGAATCAGCATATCTTATCACTGTTTTTGAACTTTAGAATCCAGTGTCTTTTAAGTCTTGCATTCATTTATACTTCAGAAATGTTTATTCAGGTTTCTGTGCTCTCAAACAGGATATTTTGTTTGAGACTGTACAAAATCCAAACTTCAGAGTTCAAATTCTCAGGATAGAAACTGGTTAATGAGAACATCTGGCAATAAGCATAAATCCAGCAGCACTCAAATAGGTTTGAACCTAATTTTTACATTGAAGATCATAGAGTAGATGCTCCCCTGAGCCATTTTGGTAAACTGAAGGCCTAGAAATGGTATTTTGAGATTTTTACTCTCTGAAACATCACTGATATTATCTGAGATGAGCAGTGCAGGGACTGAAACAGAAGTTATATCCCCACAGGGAATCACTGACAGGGAATAACAACATCCAGGTATTTTTCTTCCCGTCCCAAACCGTCCCACAGACCCCGTGCTGCTTCACCTGGCCGTGCATGAAGTGCTGATATGTGTGTTTTTTTCTCCCTTCCCACAGTCATCCAAGGGGTTGATATTGCTTTGCTGGGGCTGAACAACCAGAGCTTTGCCAGACTGATGGAGCAGCGCTTGGCCCCGCTGTTCATGATGTCCCACCAGCAGGGAAGGCGGTTCAGACGTGCCACTACCGTGGGCAGCTACACCGTGCAGGTGCTCAAAGGAGCTGTGTTCAAAAAAGTGCTTTGCTTGCATGTGTCCTGCTTCAATTTCCTGTAAAAGACGTGTCTAACTAAATTTCTTGGCTGAAATTTTCCTGTGTTTCTCGTGGATATCAAAGCAGCGAGGGCAGAATGCCTGGCATTGCTAATTGTGCCTTTTTCTGCTGCCAGCCGTGTTGGCATGCCTGTCATCCTCCAGAAATCATCATTAGTTAATCAGTGTTCATAAATATTTTCTCTCTGGTTGCTATGAGGATTGGTACAAAGTACATATTTTAGCACATTCAGCATAATGAAGAGCTCCAAGTTTTTTCTTCATGATGGAAGTTTCCTAGGTAACTCAAAGCTAGAACTTACATTTTTTTTTTCTTTTTGTTGGAAAAAAATGCAAGAAGCAGCCTTTATTTATGCAGTTAGTCATCAAATCATGTGGCCCCAGATCATGTTATGAAGTAGGGACTTCAGACCTGAGTAATTTATTAATCATCTTCCTTTTATTTACAGCATTTTACATTCAGTATTTTGAACTGATCATACTTTGTTTTCTCAACAATTAAGCCAACTGATGCTATGGGCAATTAAGAGATTTCTTCTTCAGTCTTCAAAAATTAGTTATTTAAAAAAAAATTAAATTATGTTTTTCAAGAGTTGTTTGTTGTAAGGTAGAAACCCAAGTTATTTTATTTCCCATTTGCCCACACAATTCTTTATATTGTTCCACTGAAAGAATTTAAAAGAAGGAACACATTTTACTTGCCAAAAGTGTGAACCTTTGTAAAACTTTAGTCCATAGCATAATGGAGAAGAACCACAAAACTGCTTTTTCTTCTCATCATTAGAAATGTTTGACACTTTCTCCACTCTCAGAAAAGTTAGAGGTACAATGGAAAAATTCTGCCAGTGTTCTGCAGAATAAAATGGGAAAAGCAAGATTCCTTTCTTATCAACCTGTTATATCAAAAAAATAATGAGTATAGAAGGGAAATGTGAGGCTGTTTTTCAACTTCAATATGCCAGTAAAGTACAGTTTTCAGTATTAGAGCAGATTATAAGAATTCTCCCTTTACAAAGGACTGTAATGTCCAAAAATTTGGTCCTTTCCTCTTTACTGAATGCTTTTCTTAGTGTAGGGTTTTACCTTAGGATTATGATTAATTTTTTTTAAAGAAAAACTTTAAGAAAAATTAAGAAAAATTCTCTGACTGACTGATTTAGCATCCTGGGCTCTGAAGGGGAGAAGCTCTGATCCTATGAGAATATTTGCATGGAGCTTATGCTTTTGGGAGATCTTGAAGGAGTTCCCTGTGGGCACTGCCTCCAAACAGCTCCTGGCAAGTTCTGCTGTGGGTATAATGCGAGCACAGTTTATTTCTCTTTCTCTCCTTATTTATTCATTCATTTTTTTTTCCCTTAAAGATGGTAAAAATTCAACGTATTCCAGGACCCAAGGAGCCAGCTGAACTGACATATTACACTTTGTACAACGGGAAGCCTTTGCTGGGCACTGCAGCTGCCAAAATTTTGAGTACAGTTGACTCCCAGAGGATGGCCCTGACCCTGGGCTACGTCATCCAAGTTCAAGCTGATCGTAAGAGTCCTTTCAAAAATTCCATGCTTAATCATTGTTTTATTCCATGAGCTGAAAGTTGAAGCTTGAACTTCCACAGTTTTCACTGTGGGAAGTCAGAATTAATTCTGCTGCTGGTGAAACCATGACACCACAGACTAATGGGGCAAAGTTGCTGTTCATATAACTTGGCCAAAAAAAGTAAAATGTGGTGGCTGTTAAGATGTCCCTTATTTTTGAATTGATCAAAATAGAGTGGAGATAGATTCTTTCTATCTCAAAGGTATTGTTTTTTTTTTAACAATAATTTTCATCCAGAAAACAACATGGTTGTTAAAGATATTGTTAAGACACAAATCAGAAAAGTGAAATTGAAAAGAGCTACTTGTGCATATGGGCGGCTTTCTGATTCAAGATATGATAGTATCATTCAGAATAACATGGCCAAAAATGATCCAATCTTGAAAAGCAAAGTGTTTTCAAATTTCTCTTTCAAGACCTTCATCAGTTACTGAGTGATTGTGGACACAGGTTTCTTTAATTTTGGGGTTTTTTTTTTAGCTATTCCTATATGCATGGCTCATAGTCATAAACCTGTGGTGAAGCTTGGTGTGTTTTTTCATGCAGTTCACAGCTCAGTGTACAAACCCATGTACAAAGTGCCAAAGTATTTCTTTAGAAGGAATCAAAATTATATAGTTGACTTCTGCACTGGATCTCCTTACTGGTGAAACAGCACATAAAATGGGTGTCCCTGGTGCACGTAAATCTGCCTGCAGGAGTGGTGAAACTGAAATAATTACGTAAAATAATGAGAGGAAAAGAAGAGACCACTGTAATAAGTAATTTTTATATCATCCATAAACTCAGGATTGAGTAGGAAGACAGAAATATAAGAATGATACAATTCCCAGAGAATGCACCATGTACTGTATCTGATCCTTGACTTGATCATGGTCTACTACTGATTTTAATTCAGCTGAACCCGAGGATCTCCATTCCATAAATCCCAGCATTTAAATTCCAAGTAATTTTGTTTTCCATGAGGATATTTCTTTAATGTATTTTTTTACTAAAGAAATGGATACAGCAGTTTCCTAGCTCTTTGTGCAGTGATGTGATTTATATTTATGCAGGTATTTAGGCAATTATGGAATCTTCTGCTGATCATCTAACTTTGTATTTCCATGGTCTGATAAGGCAGCCTTATTCATCTGTAGATTTTCACACCAGCCACGTATGCATAGAACACTGTAAAAAGAGAATATACAGAAACTGAAAATGTGACCTGAGGTACCGAAGATTCTGAAGGCGAAGTATTTGAAATGTAGGAGATGATTCCATCTTTATACCTTATTATGGGAAAAAACCCAATTTCTTTCCCTTTGGACACGGTTATTTGCAGTCTGTCTTTGTATTGCCACAGAAAATAGTCTGTGTGGATTTCATTTTTGCTCATTATAATTTCTGTTCTAGCAGAATGAAAAGTTCTGTCCCAAAATAATGTAGGAAAAGACATGTACCCTCAGGAGCTCATGGCTGAGTTAAACAAGATAGACTAATAATAACACAAAATATGGATGTTCCTGTGTTATGAGCCAGAGATTGAGTTACAACAGAATGAAAGGCTTGTTTCAAATTCCACTGAAGTCTTACTGAGTCAAATGAAATGTGGGTTGACTTTAGGTCACATTGGAGTCTGGTAAATGAATTAAAGATGTAAATTAGGACTCCTAAATGTCTATCCTATTAGCCATAAGATCATCATTTCCTCTGCTTCCCTTAGAAGGAATAAATATCATTTTTCAACCATTGTTTGCTGCTTCCACAGCAGCAATCTATAATTAAAGTGTCTGTTATTTGTTAAAATTCAGATTCACTTTCCTTCCCCACAGCCCTTTCATCCCCAAACTAAATGTCAAAGTCAATAATTAAGAATTCTGCGAGTCTGTTGAAAAGTGAACCCTGAAAGTCTCCAACCTGGCCTTTTTGCATCCTTGTGCTCCAGCTCTGAGCTTAATGTTCCTACATCACCCAACAAACTTCACTGGCTTTGCAAAAAGTCACAAATCTACAAAGAGAACAGGCTCCAGCCAGGATTCCAGCTGGAGAACTGAGGAGTTCCTAATGACTGCTGCAGAACAAGCTGGTTTGCATTTGAAGTCTGATCCTGAGAGATGCTGAGTGCCTCTGACAGCTCATAAGCTCAATGACATTTGAAAGCTCCGGTCCCCCAGGAAATGGGAGCGGCTGCTTTGTGCTGGTGTTCTCAGCATTGCCTGCCCACACCAGCAACCAGTGCCACAGCAAAATAAACACCAGTATCATGGGGAAATCCACTAAATATTTCACTGCAGTTAAGTTCAGCATTATAAGGAGGTTGTCTGATTGTTTTTCCAGAATGAAATGAGAGCTGGGAATGTGTCACGGGAGGATCTCTTATGTGTGAACAAGTTGAAGGTTCATACTCAGGGAGATTATTCTGATGAAATGGAATCTAGGATGTTTTTGCATCACTGCATTTCTGAAATGTACCCTTTTCCTTAAGCCATCTTTAATACATCTGCAAGTGGCTCTTTCCAACCTCATTATTTCCACTCCTTCAGAAATGAAGAATTCTTTTTTGACCTTAACTATGATAAATTATTTCTAGAGCACCAGAGAAGCATCTTATTGATATTGATATTGATGATAACTATTCAAGCTGGTTTCATTGTTTTTTAAAAAGCTCTGCCAGTTTGCTCCTGCTGAGCCAGTCAGTCTTTGACACCATGTATGGACTCCATGTGTGCTCTTTTAACACACATGCTAAGGTGATTTGCTCTAAGCTGGGTTTGTGTTTGAAAAATAGTTAAGGATGCATTACTTGCACCTTTTGTTTGTTTATTGTTTAAATGAACCATTGGAGGGATAGCTTATATTGCATCTGTCTTGACTTTGGAGTGGATGTTGGCTTTTGCATGTAACTAGGTAACTTAAAACTAAGAGAAGGGAGCCCAGGGATTTGTGAATTCAACAGTGTTGCTGATTTATCCTTTTTTTTCAACTTTTAAAGTAATACAATTTTCTTGCATAGAAAGCTAGATTACTTACAGTGCTTTTGTACTAATTTCTACATGGGGCAACTGAGGGCTGGGAGGAACAGGAACCTTGCCCAGCAAATCTTACCCATGTTGGTTTGCCTTTTTCTGCAGCTGTGGTGAAGAACCCCCCAAACAACCTGTGGATCATCGCAGCTGTGCTGGCTCCCATCGCCGTGGTCACCGTCATCATCATCATCATCACCGCCGTGCTGTGCAGGAAGAACAAGAACGACTTCAAACCAGACACCATGATGAACCTGCCTCAGAGAGCCAAGGTCAGTGACCCAGCTCTAGATCCAGGAGTCCATGTGCCTGCTGAGGCTGTGACCCTTGGGTAGATGCAGCTGAAGGATGTTTGGAATTGGAAGGGTTGTTAGAGCTTGGATCAGCACATCTTCTGTAGGACCTCAAAGCCCCTGGCCCGAGCTGTTCCTGCCAGGTGGGAATGTCTGAAGTCTGACTGCAATTCAGACCTGACCCTAAGCAAAACTCTCCTGCTAATCCAGAATAGACATTCTTTGAATTTCGTTTTTCTCCTACTGCTATTTTTCTTGTAGGTGTTTTGGACTTTCCAATTTACTTATGTATATTGCTGATTGGGTTCAAACAATTACATCTTTCTTACAGTTACTAATCCATATCAATTACAAGAATTCTTTTTTTCCCAAATCAAATGCACTTCCAGTTTGATCCTCTGACAGAAAAATGTCACAGAATACTGTTTCATCTCCATAGTGAAAAAGCCTGTCCTCTCAGTGCTTCTATTCCATGGCTCTTGATCAGCTCCACCCAAAGAAAGGAGTTTCTAGCCCATGGAGCCCGTGTGTAATTCAGACTGATCCTTTGCCCTTTTAGCTGGCTTTGTTCTTCTCCACTGGCATGGGATTGAGATGAATATTTTTTTGGTTTCTTAATGCTACAGACAGCGGGATTATTGAGATTTCAGCTCTGTTGCTTCTGCTGAAAAATGTAGATTGGAAGAAGAGTTGAAGGAAGGCAGGATGCATTTGACAGCTCTTTTCTCCTTATCTTAGGTTTGTTGCAGATGGGTGCAGCTGGTGCCAGTTGGAAACCAGACATTTGTATCAAAAATGATGCAGAAAAGACATTTCTCTTTTGGTTCCAATGTGCTCTTTATCCACTATTATCCATCCAGTGTTAAGATTAGATCTGCAAAAGTGAAACACGATATCACAAACACAAACAAGAATTAATATCACTGCAGTGCTGTGTGATGCCCCATTGAAGCCCCTAAAATGCAAATTATGCTTTATTAGGAGCTGTTGTAAGTGCTATGCACCATTTGATTTTTTAATGTATAAACTGGGTCCCAACTAAAGAAGAAAAATAGAACAAAACTTGTACATTATTTTGAACTACCCATCAATATGGGATGCTTAACATCTGAAGAAAGTTCCTATTTAAACAAAACCAAAACAACAACCAACCTACTGCTGGTTGAGGCTAGAGCACAGGAAAAAGTTGGAAGTATTTTCATACTTTAATCCATTGTTTTAATTCCAAAAGAAGTACAAAATTGGACTCTATCTGATCTAGAGAAATCAGATTTGATCAGGCTGTAAGATACATGCTCAGGTTAAAGCCTGTTTGGTCAGGTTACATTTGCATCAGCCATCAGTGCATCAAATGGGAGCTGGGTCTGCAATTGCTGGAACATTTTGGTTTTGTTTTGTTTTGCTGAGCTCCCAGCACCCACACCACAGTCCTTTCAGGAGATTTTCCTGCAGGTTTGTTCTCTTTGCAGCTGGAATGCTGAAGGTTCCCTTCCAGAGTGCGTTTCCCCTTTCCGGTTTGAGACTCCATAAAATTGAATTTAATTCATTATCTGAAAAGTGATGCATTTCCAAATGAAAGCTAAATTGCTTTCCATTTAGTTTCACGATGATGGCTCCATCAGAAAAGTTCTGCCAGATCTAGAGTTGACTCTGGTATATGGACTGTGGAAGATAAATCCTGCAGTGGGACTGGGAGTGGACTGGTTTGGTCATTTCTGATTTCAGCATCTTGAATTAAAACAAGGCTAAGAAACATATTTTGAGAAGATAATGAAAGAAGGTCATTTCAAAAAGAAGAATCTTAGTTATATTTTTAATTTCAGCGCTAGGGATAGTGGTAATTGCTTGAACTGTAATTGCCATATTTCATGTGGTTTGGCGTGAGCACATATCCATGTCACATTTAAAATGACTCTGTTGTATTTCACGGCTGAGCAAAGTGCCCCAGACTGCTGATTAATGCTGACTCTGCTGGAAGCAGAGTCACACTGGAGTGATTTGTAGTTTAAGCAGCCGTTTTAGGATTTTGCTCCTGTGCATCCGAGCCGCACTGTAGAATTTTGTGATGCCTTGTGGACATCCAGCAGCCTGCCTGGGGAGGGGAGCAGGATGTGATGGGATTCCTGCCTGCTGGGCTCTCAGGTGCGTTTGTTTGCTGTGCTGGGGCTCCAGAATCCCTGCTCCAAGGGGATGGGCAGAGCAGAGCTGCTGCAATCCTGCGGGAGGGAGGCTGCGGGTCCTGCCACATCCCTGCGGTGGGATCCCTTTTTTATGTATTTTTTATATATATATATACATATATATTTTAACATCTTTAGTGTCTTTTTCACAATCATTACCAGCACAAAGTGTCCCAGAAGGAGGCACGGACGCAGAGCCAGGGTAATGGCATGTTCAGCATTAAATGTGTGCGGCAGGGGGAGGTGAGCAGGGGATGGAGCAGAGCAGCAGTGCTGCTGCCTGAGCCTGCTAATTAAGGCGTGACTTCTGTGCTGTGGCAGACTGAAGGGTAAATAAATGAAGTTTGCAAAATGACCTCTGGTACGCAGCGTAGTTTATGGGATCTCTCTTGGGAACTGTGTTGCTGTTCTGAATTGCCTCAGCAGTCAGGGACATCTGGATGCAGTTGCAGGGAAAAGGAAAATTGAAAAATACCTTTTTTTTTTTTTTCAATTTTCTCTCTAGCTGTAAAATGAAAAGTAGTATAAATTCAAATTGGTGAAATTCTGATGGGATTTTATTTTAATGCTATTTCAATGCTGTTTTTATTTTAAGCAACTGTTTTTGCTTTGAGGTTTTGGATGGATGTTAACTTTTGCCTCCCTTGCTTTCTAATTCACAGCATGCATTTTTAAAGTCTAGAATCTCATTTGTTCCCTCACCTTTTATTTTTTTTAGACCATGAAAGAATAAGTTTGCAGGTAAAGAGAGATAAGATCTGTAGTCTAAGACACACAAACAAAAGCAAGTGCTGCAGGCCATGGGAAAACAAGCTTTATCAGTTTGATAAAGGGAACAGAGAAAAAAAGACAGTGAAACTGGACCTGGGTATACGGGAGGGGCGGATTCCTTCCTT